TGTGCACTTTATGAAAATTATGTTCTATGTAATACATTTATCATTTTCCCTAAAAAATATATGCCTTCTGGATAGTCGTAACCACCAATTATATTGGTTGCATTATTTGCATTTTTACTGAATTTTTATTTTGTATGTCGAATATATTATTAGAAAAATTAGTTTAAATTGACATTCAAAATGAGTGTTTTGTGGTATAATTTTTAGTGGGGTTAATTTTTAATTTGGGTCATGTCAAAGTTAATTCAAATTATTTTAAGTAAGAAATTTAATTTGATATATATGCACACAAAATAAATAATGAGTTAAATGATGATAAATTAATTTTTAAAGTGTATCCATTTAAACTTTCAGACTTGTAAAAATCTTTTGTCGGACATGAGTTTGCACTTTGCACACTAAAGAAAAGTGTACATAAATAACGGTGAAAAACTATTAATTTGGAGTTGAGTTGAGTTGTAGTCAATTTAACCCTAATTGGGCTCTTCCAAAAAAAAAAAAAAAACTAATTGGGCTGATTGATTACATAAGTCCATAATTAAGTTTGCTAGTCCAAAGTTTAGCTCATATTTGGGCTGGGAATTGGGTCATAATGATATTGTGTCCAATTTGAACAAAATATATATTAATTTACATGGTTATAAATTTCATAATAATGATATTGTGTCAAAAATAAATTGGGAAAAGGGTCAAATAGGTCGTCAAACTTTACTTAAGAAGTCAATTAGGTTTCTAAACTTTTTAAAGTAACAATTAAGCCTATCAACATTGTATTTTGATGCAATAAAGTACAAAAACCTGTTATTGACCTGCCATCACAGGTCATTAGGATTCCGATCAACTCCGATGATATTTTCGGCCAACTACGGTCGCGCAGTGAATCAATAGAGGAGAAGGCAACCCGTGAATCAATAAACTTATCTTCGCCGTCAACAACTGGCATTTCGAATCCAAGCTTGGCCGGATTTTGGAAATTAAATCCGACTAGTAAGTCCGCCTGAGAATCCCGTTAACCTTAGGCGACAAACTGAAGAATTTGAACTGCACTTCCAAGTGCACAAAGCTGTCGTTAGCCGGTATCCTGTAGCCGTGAATTGCATTTTTCTGTTCCGTCACCGGAACAACGTTAGCAGATACCTCAGCGATGTCCGAAACGGTGACTGTGACGTTGTTCGTATTTTTGCCATCTTTAAGCAAGCAAAGAATAAGACAAGAATGGAGTTTAAGCAATAATGATGCAAAGGAGTTTACCTCTCTCCTGTGATGATATATAGGCTCCATCTGCCTTGAAAAGTCTCACATTCTTGGATCTGATCTGCCATTTGCAGTGGAGAAGGCAACCCGTGAATCAATAAAGTTGCCTTCTCCTCCGTTGATTCACTAGCGATCGTAGTTGGTCGGAAATATTGCCGGAGTTGACCGGAATCCTAATGACCTTTGATAGCAGGTCACTAACAGGTATTTGGACCTCATTGCATCAAAATACAATGTTGATGAGTTTAATTGCTACTTTAAAAAGTTTAAAAGACTAATTGATTTTTAGGTAAAGTTCAATAGCCTATTTGACCCTTTTCCCAAAGAAATTTCATGGTTATAAATTTTCATGTTTAAGAATTTATGTTGATATGTTTACTAATTGAATAAATTTTCTGAAACAAAAAAAAAGGCCAAATTATTGTGACGGTTGACACAGTTGTGTAGATCACAGTCTAAAATATCGCAGTGAATATTATGAGTAAAAATAATGTACATTATATATTAGAATAATATACATTACGTGTTAGAATAATATACATTATGCTTTTAAAATAATGTACATTATGAGTTATAAAAATATATATTACATTAAGTGCACAAAAAAATAACATTTAAATTGTGACGTTGTGTTTTGGATCGAGATCCACACAGCTGTGTAAAGTACATTTCACGCAATAACTATTGAAAAATAAGTGTTGATAATTGTATTCTCTTAACTGAAAATGAAAAATAGATAAAGGAAAATCGTTAATTGAAGTAAACGCCGGGTCTTTAACTCAATTCTATGTTCTTCGGTCAAAATATGTTTACACTAAAATAAAAGTATTTAAATTGAATTTTGGTTTAGAAATCCGTTAGCAGAGTAGACTCCAAGTCCAAGTCACCCAACTTAATTTATGGTTTAAACCAAGCAATACGCCAATGAAGTCATCCTCTTTTAGTGAATATAGTCGGACCAATAAAGTAACATGCAGTTTTGTTAATTTTTGCGTAACAAATTATGAAGAAGAACACATGAATTATTATAAAATATTTATTATTTATTAAATAATTATTATATAATTAATTAATTTTTTACTATAAAATCTAGGGGTGGGTTTTCGAGTTTCGATTCGTTTTTTTTTTTTTTTTTTTTTTTTTTTTTTTTTTTTTTTAAAATTTAAACCATTCAGTTTAACAATAGAGTTCGGTTTAGTTTGAAAAAGTTCGGTTTTGGTAAAAATCAACTATTTGAACGTTTTCTTTTTTGCCTGATCGATTGTTCAGTTTGCTCACTTGGAGTGCCACTTGAAGTGTTTTGTTGATGACAATATGAAGAATCATCCATCTACATAGTTAATATTTGAAAAATAAGAATTATTAAAACACCAAATGTTGGGACTTACGATTTAGAGTTGAGGTCTAAGGACTTGTGAAGTAGAAATTATTAATTATTAATTATTATAATATTTATATATAATACTAACATTTTGTACGCACGATGCGCGAAAATTTATGCCCAATATTAAAAAAATTGATAAATACAAATAATTACAAGTTATAGTTCAAATTATATTTCGTAATTCCTTAAAGTAGTAAATTTTAATCATCGTAATTGAAAACTACAGAGATGAACAAAAATTATATTTTGTTTATTAATAATGTGAACAATTTTGATATGATATATACTTTATTTTTACAATAAATAAATAAAATATTTATAATACTAATCTAGTACCCGACTACCCGGTCACATATATTGGTGCGTTGTGTGTGCCTATATATATAGATACACACACATATATAATTTACCATTCATAAAAAATTAATTAAAATATAATCAACAATAATTATATAATGATTTTAATAAAATAATAATTAAAGAATAGAAAAAAATATCATAGATATAGGTGTATGATAATAATGATAGAGCTATGAAAGTTAGAATTAAATAGTAACGGTGTTATAACGATGTAAGGGTATTTTTGTTTAACAAGAATGTAGTATGGACAATTTTGTCCATTATAATTGAAGTGTACAACATTTATTGAAAAATGTATACCTTTATTAGCATACAAATGTAAATAGTAACATAAATGTGCGTATAGCTTAATGGGTAAAATTTTTGATTTGTAACTTGATGATCAAGGATTCAAATCTTAACTTGTACATTTAATATATTATACATTATAAAAAATTAAAAAAAAAAAAATTGATCGGTTCCAGCCCTAATAAGATCAATATATATTTTTAGTTAATCAGTAACAACTAGGGAGCGTTTGATTTAAATATTGGAATCAAAATCTTAATTGAATTTTAAATACTTTGTAATTGTAATAGATTTAAGTAAAAGAAATTTCTTTCCTAGGTAGCAAATTATAATTGCCATCAAATTAATTATTTCATTAATATATAAATATATAAAAATATATAATACACGCACATATGTGTGTATTAAAGTTCTATATTGAGTGAATAAACAATAATTTCTTTTTCCAAAACAAAAAAAAAAAACAAAAAAAAAAAACAAGGATTTCTTTTATTTTTTTTCTTCATCATTTTTTGAATAGGGAGGAAAAATGGTAGTGAGTTTTAAGATTTATAAACGATTTGAATTCAATAGTAATATAAAAAGAGTAGTCTTCATAGAGAGTCCAAATGAGATGATTTAAGTGTCAAAGGAAAGATAAAGAATTCCTCAACAACTTTAATATTGAACATTTTGAGAGATTCCATATGCATTCATATCAGAACATTCGGACACGTCCTGAGGAATTTGTCCTGCAACAAGTTGATAGTGTTTTGATCATATCTCCTTAATATGAAGCCCAATCAAGGTGATTCAAGTGACTATGGAAAGCTAAGAGAGTGTCCTACAACTTTTATATTCAAAATTTTTTCATATTCGGAACAAAACAATACCAAAATTGCCTAGTTGTATTTCCAGTTTGTTTGGTTATTTAATATAAATTTGTTTCTTTGGTTTTAAGAAAAAAAAAAAAAAACATAGTCAAAAATTAGACTCTGTTTAAATTTTCAAATATGGAATAATCAAATCATTCAAATGCGGCAGCTGTCCAAAGTAGGAGTTGGAGTAGGGAGGGGAGTGTGATTGGTTGAAGCAAATCCTAAAGCTCAATTTTGGCATCAACTGTCTAACACTTCTCCATATCCATATTTTATATTCATTCATCTAATATTATATTACATCTATACAAAACTAATAAAAAAAAACCCCAATGGAGAATCCAAAATTTAAAATTTTAAACTCACAAAAAAAGAAATTATGAAAATACATGTAATATTATTGTTTTTAATTGCCAGTTTAATGAAACTATCTACGACTAATTTGTTAAAAAACTCTTATGTCAAAGTTGGACTTTGGATAGTAAAACTTCTTTGATATATCAAAGTTGGACTTTGGATAGTAAAACTTCTTTGATATACAAGAACATAGAAAGAAGAAAGCCTGATTTTTCATGTTTCGGTTGAATGTTACTGGCTCTATTACATTGTAGTATCATAAACTTTCCCAAGTACTACTGGAACACTGAAACACAAAGAACCAATAACGCCTCCATTGAAGCTCGAACTCACAACCTTCCAAATGAAAATCCAACCTGAATACCATTAGACCACATAGTCCTAGTAAGAAACGTATTACATGTAGCTATATTTAATTAATTTGATAACATCCATTGACTATGACTCCAAGTCCACCCAACAACGTGTAACTTTGTTGTTCACACTTCACATTAAGCAATACAATAATAGATTAGAGCAGCTGGAAGAGCAATTGCTAGCTCCTCCAATCCTCAATCACTCCTCACCATCTTATTATTATTATTAGCTTAATTAGTTTATTAATTGTTAGAAAATGCTGCTGCACCACCCTTTTCATCATGCCTCCTCCTTCTTCTTCATCATCATCATCCTCCTTTTCTCCTTACCAAATTATTCACAATCTTTAACCACTCATGAGGATGATGAAAGGGGTATTTTACTTCGCATAAAACAAGAGTACTGGGGAAATCCATCTTCACTTGAGCAATGGAACTCCACTTCCTCCCCATGTGACTGGCCTGGAATTTCATGCAACTCCAATGGAAGTGTCACACGGATATCTCTCTCCGAAATGATCATGGGAGGATCATTCCCTGCCTCAGCTATTATATGCCAGCTCAACAACCTTTCTTCAATCGATTTCAGTTTCAATCGTCTCTGGGGAACTATTCCAGTTGGCCTCTCCACTTGCTCAAAGCTTGAAGTGTTGGATCTATCCGGAAATTATTTCACAAGAAAAATACCAGGTGAGTTGTTCTCTATGAAAAGACTGCGGAGTTTAAATCTTCAACAAAACATGTTGTCTGGTGAGATACCGACACCCATGGTGGCTCCCAGTTTGGAGTCTCTTGATCTTGCATATAACCTATTGAATGGATCAATACCAAGTGAATTGTTTTCCATGAAAAGGTTGCGCAGTTTATATCTTCAACAAAACATGTTGTCTGGTGAGATACCGACACCCATGGTGGCTCCCAGTTTGGAGTCTCTTGATCTTGCATATAACCTATTGAATGGATCAATACCAAGTGAATTGTTTTCCATGAAAAGGTTGCGCAGTTTATATCTTCAACAAAACATGTTGTCTGGTGAGATACCGACACCCATGGTGGCTCCCAGTTTGGAGTCTCTTGATCTTGCATATAACCTATTGAATGGATCAATACCAAGTGAATTGTTTTCCATGAAAAGGTTGCGCAGTTTATATCTTCAATACAACATGTTGTCCGGTGAGATACCGACGATACCCATGGTGGCTCAGAGTTTGGAGGATCTTGATCTTTCAAATAACCATTTGAATGGATCAATACCAGAAGATATAGGAAATTTATACCACCTTAGCTCTTTAGATTTGTCCAATAATTCTTTTACTGGTCCAATACCTGATAGATTGTCACAGTTGCATCAATTGTCTCATCTTTCGCTTTCTTTTAACAAATTGACCGGTGAAATACCTGAAAAACTGGAATTATTTAGATTGAATGTCATTGATCTGTCTCATAATCATCTAAGTGGAACTATTCCAAAAGGTTTTGGAGATTTACTGCAATTGGAGTACGTCAATGTATCTCATAACCACTTATCTGGAGACATATGGGTAAATTTTATCCCTCTGAGTGCTAGCCATCTGAGTATTGCACTGATCCTTGATATTTGTTCGAACAACCTTTCTGGGAGAATCCCTTATAAGCAACTGAAGGAAAGGTTTGAACATAGCTGCTTTGATGGACCCAATTTATGCTCAGATGTAAAGGAAAATGGATTGCCAGCATGCTCTACAGACGGGTGTTCTGATTACATAGACTGCAGTTCCAAGCCTAGTAGTAAATCAAAGAAAAAGAGTAAATACAAAATTATAACTACTTGCAGTGCAATTGCAGGGGTACTTATTGGGTTAGGAATTCTGATACTGGTGTTCAGACCTAGGGTGGGAAGGAGAAAGGAAAGTGATGGAGAAGAATGGAGTATGATTTCATTTCAAAGGTTGGAATTCAATAAATGGGATATTTTGGGTGGTTTGATTGATGAAAATTTGATTGGAAATGGAGGGTCAGGAAAAGTATATAGGGTGATCACCAAGAAAGGCCAGAGTGTTGCCGTTAAAAGTATACGGCATGAACAAAAGCAAGGGCTTGGATTAATGGAGAAACAGTTCCTAGCAGAGGTTAAGATCCTTGGGAGAATTTGGCACAACAACATAGTGAAATTGCTATGCTGCATCAGAGGAAAGACAACAAAGCTTCTTGTGTACGAATACATGGACAAACAATGCCTCTATAAATGGTTGCATGGAAAGAAGAGAGGCTTAACTACTCAAGTCTTGCAGTGGGAGAGGAGGCTAAAAATTGCAATTGGAGCTTCACAAGGGCTATGCTATATGCATCACAGTTGCAGTCCGCCCATTGTTCATAGAGATATCAAGTCCAGTAACATACTCGTCGACTCAGATTTCAATGCCAAGATTGCAGATTTTGGACTGGCAAAGATGATGGCGAGTGAAGGAGATCCAGAAACAGCATCTGCTATTGTGGGAACCTTTGGTTACATTGCCCCCGGTACATTTTTTATATCTTCATCATTTCAATTCCCACTGATATTTATACTTGCATAATCACATATATCATGAGAATGCAGAATACGGCAGTACAAGAAAAGTGGATGCGAAGAGCGACATCTACAGTTTTGGCGTAGTTCTCTTGGAATTGACAACGGGAAGAGAAGCAGTGACTGGAAATGAGGATATGAACCTGGCACAATGGGCACACAAACACCAAAGAGAAGGGAACTCAGCTGCAAATGCCCTAGATGAGGAGATCAAGGACCCACGCTATCTGGAGGCAATGATCGCTGTTTTCAAATTAGGTCTTGCATGCACTTTGAATTCCCCATCAAGCAGGCCATCCATGAAAGATATTTCACAGATTCTTCAAAGATACAGCGAAAACAATCATCTATCCCTAGAGAGCCAATAGATAATATAATATTTCCACTTTACTTTTGAATGGACTTGTCCCATTACAAAATATTTTGCAGTGGTTTGTTTAGTTTAATTTGACTATTGCACTCACAGTGCAATTATGCAGAATCCATCATAATTCATATTTCACAATGCAACTCCACTTTGTTTCCTTGATTTTCGTAGATGTTAAAGTGATAAATAAACTTTCTGGAGCGCAATAGTAATTGCATTGGAGTTCCAAAATTAATAATATTCACAGGAATTGAAACAGGCAACTTAACCATTGGAGGAATTAATGAAGCATGTTTACCTGTTCAGTGTTCACAGCCCTCGCTTGCGTCTTCAAGCTCGTACAATCAATTATATACACCATGATTGCATCAAGATATCAACTCTAGCAACATACTCTTAAAGTCCTAGAATCTGAATTCAGTACTAAGATTGCAGACGACTTTGGACTAACAAATATGCCAGCAATTGAAGCAAATCCAAAAACATGCTTGTGTGGGAACCTTTGGATACATTGCTCCAAGTATGTTTTTCATATCTTCAATTAACACTTAAAATTTTTTTGATGTGTTTTACACCTAGTAGAATCACATGCATAGCACTATACTGCAGAGTGTAGCAACACAAGAAAAGTGAATGTGGATATCAACATCAATCTACAGCTTTGGCAATAGCATTCTTGAAATTTGCAACTAGAAGAGAAGTTGAGAATGTAGATGAGGAGATGAACCTAGCAAAATGAGCATACAAATACTAAATATAAAGAAACTTAACTATTAATACCCTAGATGAGGAGATAAGGATCCACCTTATTTGGAGGTCGTGACCTCCATTTTTAAATTAGCCCCTACATGCATGTACTTTGAGCTCTTCTTCAAATAAGTCATCCATGTAAGATATATTATAGATTCTTCAAAGATGCCAATAATTTCTTTTTCTTGATTGGTCTCTCCATATATAAATTAAGTCCTTCCAATAATTATATAGAATTTCACCCAAAACATATTTCACACAACAAACCCAAACAAATGTCACTCCGTGTTAGAAATCAAGCCAAACTCTCAAGTTATAAAGAAAAAAAAAAAAAAAAAAAAAAGAAAGAGGAAGAAAAATAAATAAAAGAAAACAGATAATTAAAATAAACAACATACACGTAGTCACGTACTTAACTCAGTTCTATCTATTCTGGTCCACATATTTTACACCCAAATTAAAAGTATTAAAATTGAAATTTGGTTTAGAAATAAGGTAGCTGAGTTGATAATTCAGATATTACTATTAAGTCCAAGTCCACCCAACTTAATTTTTGGGTCACATTAAGCAATAGACCAATTAAGTCATCCTAAAATGCTCCTCACCATCTTTATATACATGGATCATCCATGCATTTTGGTTTTCAGTCTTTTTAGCTTAATTAATTGTTTGAAAATGCTGCAGTTGAGCCTCTTCATCATGCCTTGTATTCTTCTTCCTCCATTTCTCCTTGCCAAATTCACATTCTTCAACCACTGAAAGGGCTATTTCACTTGGCCTAAAACTAGGACCATGAAAAGATTGAGAACCCCATATACAATATACTTGCGGAAACCAAAGATGAAGCCTAACTACACTAGTTTTCCCTACAATGCTTTCTTTCTCTATTTCCACCACCACTCAATCTCCGTTTTTCTTCTTCCATTTATGTTGCTCATCTTCTTTCTTCATCCATCTTCACCAACTCCTCTCAATGGGCTTTACAAGGACTCACAGTTGCTATTATCCTTCAAAGCTACCATTTATAACCGAAGCTCACTTCAAAACTGGGTATCCTCCAAAAATCCCTGTAGCTTCACTGGTATTACATGCAAAGGATCAAGGGTCTCTTCTATAAATCTCACAGACACTAGGCTCATCATAGATTTTCGCATGGTTTCTTCTTACTTGCTCAGTCTTGAAAACCTGGAGAGCCTTGTGTTGAAGAACGACAATCTCGAAGGCTCACTCGTTTCTGCCAAAAAATCCCAATGCGCTGCTTCTTTGAGGTACATAGATCTAGCTGAAAACTCCATCTCAGGGCCTGTTTCTGATATCTATAGCCTTGCTCGTCGGTGCTATAATCTCAAGGCCCTCAACCTTTCCGGCAACTCCATGGACCCTCCTGGGCGGGAGGTTGCTGCGGGTGGAGCAACCATTAGACTTCGAAGTCTTGATCTTTCTTACAACAAAATTTCAGGGGAGAACATATTTGTTATGCTGCCCCCCAGTGATTTTCCTGATCTTGAGTTGTTGTCTCTGAAGGGTAATGAATTATCAGGAAAAATTCCCAAATTGAGTTTTAGGAATTTGTCATATTTGTACCTTGGGGAAAATAATTTTCACGGGGAGCTTCCAGGGCATATTGGAGATTTATGTACAACTCTTGTGGAATTGGACTTGTCTTCCAACAACTTTTCAGGAATGGTCCCTGAGACACTTGGAACTTCAGATCTTTCCAACAATAATTTCTATGGTTTTATCATTCAATAATTTTGTTGGTGGCTTATCTCAGTCATTTTCTAGCTTGGTAAACTTAGAGACCTTAGATTTGAGTTCTAATAATGTCTCTGATTTGATACCCTCTAGGATTTGTAAAGACCCTAAGAATAGCTTGAAAGTGTTGTACCTTCAGAACAACATGTTCACTGGTCCAATACCTGAGAGTTTAACTGTTCCCAATTGGAATCTCTTGATCTTAGCTTTAATTACCTTTGGACCGCCGCCTCCTTTGAATATACAAGAACATAAAAAGAATATAGTCGGATTTTCATGTATGTTTAATTCAACTCAGTTTGAATTGTTCCAGGCCAGTCTAAATATTTGACGCCTAAATTAAAAGTATCCAAAGTCAATTTTAGTGTAGATATGGATTGGGCAGATGGAGTTTCTAAATATTATTATATTTAGGATAATCCAAAATTTAGTTCAGATATGATTAACTCCAAGTCCAAGTCCACCCGACTTAATTTCTGGTTCACATTAAGCAACAATAGACCAAGTCAGCCTCTTTCAGTAGTAAAGGAAGTGAGTGATGAGCAGCAAGCAATATAATAGAATAGGAAGACCAATTCAGCTAATAAGCTAAGGATCCTAATTCTCATCACCATTATATTACATTAAGAGCTTAGAAGCACATCTGGTCTTATTATTAGCTCCTCCGATATGATCCTCACTCACTCCTCACCATCTTATTATTATTATTAGCTTAATTAATTAATTGTTTGACGATGCTGTTGCACCACCCTATTCATCATGTCTTCATCTTCTTCATGCTCCTTTTCTCCTTCCCAAATTATTCACAATCTTTAACCACTTATGAGGATGATGAAAGGGCTATTTTACTTATCCTAAAACAACACTGGCGATATCCATTTTCACTATTTGAGCAGTGGAACTCCACTTCCTCCCCATGTGACTGGCCTGGAATTTCATGCAACTTCAATGGAAGTGTCACACGGATATCTCTCTCCGGAATGAACATCCCAGGATCATTCCCGGCCTCAACTATTATATGCCAGCTCAACAACCTTGTTTCAATCAATTTCAGTTCCAATAATCTTTGGGGAACTATACCAGCTAACCTCTCCAGCTGCTCAAAGCTTGAAGAGTTGGATCTATCTGCAAATTATTTCACAGGAAAAATACCAGGAGATTTATGTACAACTCTTGTGGAATTGGACTTGTCTTCCAACATATTATCAGGTGTGGTCCCTGAGACCCTTGGTGATTGCTCAACCTTGGAACTTCTAGATCTATCCAACAATAAATTCTCTGGTGAGTTGCCTGAGTCAATTAGTTTGACTAGCTTGAAGACACTGGTTTTATCATTCAATAATTTTGTGGGTGGCTTGTCTGAGTCATTGTCTAGCTTGGTAAGCTTAGAGACTTTAGATTTGAGTTCAAATAACATCTCTGGTTTGATTCCCTCTGAAATTTGTAAAGACCCTAAGAATAGCTTGAAAGTGTTGTACCTTCAGAATAACCTGTTTACTGGTCCAATACCTGAGAGTATAAGCAACTGTTCCCAATTGGAATCTCTTGATCTTAGCTTTAATTACCTTAAAGGGAAGATACCATCTAGCCTCAGGTCCTTGTTGAAGCTCAAGGATTTGATCATTTGGATGAATTGGCTTGAAGGGGAAATCCCGAGGGAGCTAATGTACTTGCAGTCTTTGGAAAATCTGATTCTTGATTTCAATGAATTGTCAGGGTCAATGCCTGAAAGTCTCAGCAACTGTACTCATTTGAATTGGATTTCTTTGTCGAATAATTTGTTGAGTGGTGCTATACTTGCTTCATTAGGGCAGTTGTCTAGTCTATCCATTCTGAAGTTGGGAAACAACACCATCTCTGGGAGCATACCTGCTGAGTTGGGGAATTGCCGCAGCTTGTTATGGTCTGAGACCCTTGGTGATTGCTCAGCCTTGGAACTTCTACATCTCTCCAACAATAAATTTTCTGGTGAGTTGCCTGTTGAAACCCTACTAAATTTGACTAGCTTGAAGACATTGGTTTTATCATTCAATTATTTTGTTGGTGGCTTGTCTGAGTCATTTTCTAGCTTGGTAAACTTAAAGACCTTAGATTTGAGTTCTAATAACATCTCTGGTTTGATACCCTCTGGGATTTGTAAAGACCCTAAGAATAGCTTGAAAGTGTTGTACCTTCAGAATAACCTATTTACTGGTCCAATACCTGAGAGTCTAAGTAACTGTTCCCAATTGGAATCTCTTGATCTTAGCTTTAATTACCTTAAAGGGAAGATACCATCTAGCCTGGGGTCCTTGTTGAAGCTCAAGGATTTGATGATTTGGTTGAATGAGCTTGAGGGGGAAATCCCATTGGAGTTAAGGTACATGCAGTCTTTGGAAAATCTGATTCTTGATTTCAATGACTTGTCAGGGTCAATCCCTGAAACTCTCAGCAACTGTACTAATTTGAAATGGATTTCTTTGTCGGATAATTTGTTGAGTGGTGCTATACCAGCTTCATTAGGGATCTTGTCTAATCTAATTATTCTGGAGCTCGCAAACAACTCCCTCTCTGGGAGCATTCCTGCTGAGTTGGGTATGAACACCAATTTCTTGAATGGGTCTATTGCAATACCAATATTTCACCACATCGGATCCTTGAGTTTCCTTAACCTTTCATACAATAAGTTGGAAGGCAGTATTCCAAAGGAATTAGGTTCCATGCAGTATCTCAATATTCTGAATTTAGGGCATAATCATCTCTCTGGTCCAATACCTCAAGAACTTGGAGGCTTGGAGAATGCTGACAGCCTTTATTTATCACACAACCGACTCAATGGCTCAATTCCACAAACTTTGACCAATCTCACATATCTTTCGGTTCTTGATCTGTCTAATAACCAACTTTCTGGAGTGATTCCACAAAATTTGACCAATCTCGGATTTCTTTGGAAACTTGATCTGTCTAATAACCAACTTTCTGGAGTGATACCTTGTTCATGTCAATTTGCAAGATTTACTAGAGAATCGTTTGCGAATAATTCTGGCCTTTCTCAATGCCGTCATCCTCAGGATTGCCAAGAACCAAGTCCAAGTTTAAGTTCAATTTCTAAGTCTAGCAGATCAAAGAAAAAGCATTACATCATTATAGGTTGTGGTGTAATTGCAGGGGTACTTATTTGGTTAGTAACTCAGTTACTCGTGATCAGACTAGCAGGGAAAGGGAGAAGGGAAAATGATGGAGAAGAATGGAGTATCATTTCACTTCAAAGGTTGGATTTCAATAAATGGGAAATTTTGGGTGGTCTGAAGGAGGAAAATTTGATTGGAAATGGAGGGTCAGGAAAAGTATATAGAGTGATCACCAAGAAGGGTCAGAGTGTTGCTGTTAAAAGCATATTGCATGAACAAAAGCAAGGGCAGGGATTAATGGAGAAACAGTTCCTAGCAGAGGTTAAGATTCTTGGGGGAATTTGGCACAACAACATAGTGAAATTGTTATGCTGCATCAGAGGAAACACTACAAAGCTTATTGTGTATGAATACATGGACAAACAATGTGTTCACAAATGGTTGCATGGAAAGAAAAGAGGCTTAACTACTCAAGTCTTGCAGTGGGAGAGGAGGCTAAAAATTGCCATTGGAGCTTCACAAGGGCTTTGCTATATGCATCACGGTTGCAATCCACCCATTCTTCATAGGGATATCAAGTCCAGTAACATACTCGTCGACTCTGACTTCAATGTCAAGATTGCAGACTTTGGACTGGCAAAGTTGATGGCGAGTGAAGGAGATCCAGAAACAGCATCTGCTATTGTGGGAACCTTTGGTTACATTGCCCCGGGTACATTTTTTTTATATCTTCATCACTTCAATTCCCACTTATTTTTATACTTGCATAGTCACATATATCATGAGAATGCAGAATATGGCAGTACAAGAAAAGTTGATGCGAAGAGCGACATCTACAGCTTTGGTGTAGTTCTCTTGGAATTGACAACTGGAAGAGAAGCCGTGCCTGCAAATGAGGATATGAACCTGGCACAATGGGCACACAAACACCAAAGAGAAGGGAACTCAGCTGCAGATGCCCTAGATGAGGAGATCAAGGACCCACGTTATCTGGAGGCAATGATCGCTGTTTTCAAATTAGGCCTTGCATGCACTTTGAATTCCCCATCAAGCAGGCCGTCCATGAAAGATATTTCACAGATTCTTCAAAGATACAGCGAAAACACTCATCTGTCTTTAGAGAACCAATAGACAATATAATATTTCCACTTTACTTTTGAATGCAAAATATTTTGCAATGGTTTGTTTAGTTTAATTTCACTATTGCACTCACAGTGCAGTTATGCTGGATCCTTTATAATTCATAATGCAACTCCACTTTGTTTCCTTGATTTTCTTAGATGTTAAAGTGATAAATAAACTTTTTGGAGCTCAATAGTAATTGCATTGGAATTCCAAAATTAATAATATTCACAGGAATTGAAACATGCATGCAACTTAAGAGTGAATTCCATTTTTGATCCTATTGTTATAGGGCGTTTCCAATTTTAGTTCACCTTAATCTTTTTTTGTCACTTTATAACCACTATTATTGAATGTGTTCCACTTTTAGTCCCACCGTTAGTATTTCCATCAAGAGGCCGTGTAATCTAGGGGTATTTTGACTTTTCTTCTCATCCAAGACTATGTTTGACTAAAGAAATGAGAACATTAAACCTAAAACCTAAGAAACATCGCCGGCCCATGTTGGAACGAACAAAACAATGTAGCTTTGGCTTCCCATTCTAGTTGTTCGAAGAACCATCTTCGAATATTGGAGGAGGAGGACGAAGTGTCTGGATTAAAAGAGAAGAGACAAACATAAAAAGACCAAAATATCATTTGATTATACGGCCTCTTGACGGAAATATTAACGGTAGACTAAAAGTGGAACACATTCAATAACAGTGATTGTAAAGTGGCAAAAAAAATTAAAGTGGACTTAAATTGGAAAAGCCCCTATAACAGTAGGACCAAAAATGGAATTCACTCTACAACTTAACTATTTGGAGGAATTAATGAAGCATGTTTACCAGTTCACAGGCCTCGCTTGCGTCTTCAAGCTCGTACGATCAATTATATACACCATGATTGCATCAAGATATCAACTCTAGCAACATACTCTTAAAGTCCCAGAGTTTGAATTCAATACTAAGATTGCAGACTTTGCAAGGTGGACACAGTTCTAAAACTGTTCATAATTATGAATATAAGTTCAAAAATTATGAACATATAGTTCTATACTTATGAACATAGAATTGTGAACATAATTATGAACATATAGTTCTGCAATTATGACTATAGAGATTCAATAATTGTGAATATGAAGTTCAAAAATTATGAATTTTCTGATAGTCGATCGAGTAATCTGCGCCCAGTAGAGCTTAGCCAAGAGTAGACCGAAATGGTCTCGCGAAGCCGGTCCCCGTGTGATGAAGATCCTTGATTAGCTTGATTTCTTGAAAGATTGGGTTAGTGTCTAAGCGATCACGAGCGAAGACGTGTCGAAGTGAAAGCCCCTGGGATTATTGAACGTAAATCTGTGCACGAGCCTATGCAAACAGGGTTAAAAGCGGTAGATAGCCTGGTTCCTATAGGTCGTGGTCAACGAGAACTTATAATCGGAGAAAAGGATAGAGTTGGATTTGGATTTGCTATTCCCTGTTCACGAATCAGCTGTGAATGCTGCCGATACCGCTTTCGGAATAGCAGATGAATTGAGCAGAGGATTTGAGAAAAGCACATTCCCTAAGCGGTCGAAAATGGCCTTGAATCAAACTCTTAAACTAAGCCCTACTTCAAAATTCTAAAGTAAAGAGTCAGGAACTCGGCCTTATCGGCGGGATTAAGTCAATTAGACCTGGTGAAAGCAATCAAGCCAAAAGAATAAGGGGCTCTCCCACGCCCTTGAACCTAGCCCTCGTCGGCTAGTTCGGAAGCGAGGGAATTATAGTTTTATAATTATGAACATATAGTTCAGTAATTGTGAATATAGAGTTGAATAATTATGAATATGAAATTCAAAAATATGAATATATAACTTTATAATTATGAACATATAATTCAGTAATTATGAACATAGAACATTGTCTACTTTGCAAGGCGGTTTCACAGCATAACGATTGATTGAAGTAAACGCCGGGTCATTAACTCAATTCTAGGTATTCTGGTCCAAATATGTTACACTAAAAGAAAAGTATTTAAATTGAATTTTGGTTTAGAAATCCGTTAGCAGAGTATGTAGACTCCAAGTCCAAGTCCACCCAACGTAATTTATGGTTCAAATCGAGCAATACACCAATCAAGTCATTCTCATAGTCAGGACTAATTTTTGAGGGACAAATTATAAACAAGAACACGAATTATAATTGAATTTTAAATACTTTGTAATTAAGTAGAAGAAATATCTTCTTTTTTTTTTTTGGTAGCAAATTATATTGCCATCAAATTAATTAATTAATAATAAATAAATAAATATATAAAAATATATAATACACGCACATATGTGAGTGTGTGTATTAGTTATTTTGACAAGTTATTTCATCTCGCTTCTTTGGCGAGTTATTCCATCTCATTTCTTTGGCGAGTTCTTTTTCCATTAATGTGAAACGATTTAATTTATCATGGCGTATGTTTATCTCATCCTGAGCAACGAACAAAATCTGAACCATGATATGCGGTTCAGATTAATGAAGATATTGTCTACGGACAGAAGAGCTGCAATAGTTACTCAGGTGGTATGCAAGACTTCTCAAATAGAGTCAATGTTGGATAGCCAGATCATTAACAACATCAAAGAAGCTTCAGGTCCTCCATTGAATTCAGCTTCAATTTTGTAACACATTTTGTGATTCAAGTTTCTTTTAGCATTGCTAGTAAAGTTGTTTCTATGTTTGACTGTAAAGAATGTTTTATCATTCTATCGAGGGTGAATCAACGATTTGGTCCCTCACTTATTCGCGACTTGTCAATGTTGCCCCTGAATCACGTATTCATCGGTTTAGTCCCTGAAAATAATTGTTTTTCGTCAAATCAGTCCCTATGGCCGTATTCCGTCAAGTCTCAGGCGAGAGCTCCGATTTGCCATGGGCATTTTGGTCTTTTCACGCCTTCTTCTTCATTAATTCTGACCAAGCTTCGCCGGAGAAGCTCAAGCTCGCCGGAGGGAGCTCTATCTCTTCTCTTCCCCACCCCAAAGCCTCCGGTGACCAAGTCTCACTACCGTTCACTTCGACCTCTCCGCCGCTGCTGCCATCGTTCACCGGCGGCTGATCATCCAACCGCTCCTTGTGCAGCTGGTTGTTGCTATCATGCGCCTGGAAAGGATGGACCTTCATGTACAAGCCATTGGAGTCCGACATCAGATTGTTACCGCTGTTACTCTTCGGCTGATCACCGTTAGCTCCACCGCCGTTAACCACCGTTTCCTGAGAAGCATTCTCCACCATTGCCATGATCAAAGGCAGGCTAAACCCTAGAGTACCCTGAGCTTAGCTAACCCACTGCTCTCTTAACTCACTCTAGATCGACGAATTTGATCAAGCCTTACTATGAACAGAAGAGAAGATGAAACAGAGAAAAAAAAAAAAAAAAAAAAAAAAGCAAAAGCCAGTCTTTTTAACAATGTTCGAAACGAATCAAAATACCTTTGCGGAAAAAGTATTGAAACGCACCGTTTGAAGAGAAGTTCAAAGATTCTCCATTAACACTTGACAGACAAGAAAGATAACCTCGAGGAGATTGATTATTGCGGAGAACCCGAAATGGTTAAACGCAACCCACCCAGAAACCTCAAATCAAAAGAACGGCAAATGGAGACAAAATATAGAGAGGACCCATAGACTATTTTCTCGGCGGAGAGGTTCATAGCTCCCATGTTGTGAGACTTGGTCACCGGAGGCTTTGGGGTGGGGAAGAGAAGAGATGGAGCTCCCTCCGGCGAGCTTGAGCTTCTCCGGCGAAGCTTGGTCAGATATAATGAAGAAGAAGGCGTGAAAAGACCAAAATACCCAGGGCAAATCGGAGCTCTCGCCTGAGACTTGACGGAGTACGGCCATAGGGACTGATTTGACGAAAAACAATTATTTTCAGGGACTAAATCGATGAATACGTGATTCAGGGGCAACATTGACAAGTCGCGAATAAGTGAGGGACCAAATCGTTGATTCACCCTTCTATCGATTTTTATTGTAACTGTTTCAACTTATGATTAATGAATTAGCTCTTTATTTTCAAAAAAAAAAAAATAATGATTTCTTTTATTTTTTTCTTCATCATTTTTTATTCCATTGTTCAAAAGTAAGGGAACAAAAATGGTAGTGAGTTTTAACATTTATGAACGATTTCAATTCAATAGTAGTATAAGAAGAGTAGTCCTCATAGGGAGTCCAAATGAGATGATTCAAGTGTCAAAGGAAAGATAAGGAAGTCCTCAACAACTTTAATATTGAACATTTTGAGAGATTCCAGATGCATTCATACCAGAATATCAGAACATTCAATTCGGACACGTCCTGGGGAATTTGTCTTGCAACAAGTTGATAGTGTTTTGATCATATCTCCTTAATATAAAGTCCAATCAAGGTGATTCAAGTGACTATGGAAAGCTAAGAGAGTGTCCTACAACTTTTATGTTCAAAGTTTTTTCATATTCGGAACAAAACAATACCAAACTTGATTGCCTAGTTGTATTTCTAGTTTGTTTGGTGATTTAATATAAATTATGTTCTTTGGTTTTAAGGAAAAAAAAAACATAGTCAAAAATTAGACTCTGTTTAAATTTTCAAATATGGAATAATCAAATCATTCAAATGTGGCAGCTGTCCAAAGTCGGAGTTGGAGTAGGGAGGGAAGTATGATTGGTTGAAGCAAATCCTAAGGCTCAATTTTGCTCTCGATGGTCTAACACTTCTCCATATTCATTCATCTAATATTATATTACATCTATACAAAACTAATAAATAAATAAATAAATAAATAAAAACCCCAATGAAGAATCCAAAATTAAAAAGTTTTAAACTCCCAAAAAAGAAATTGTGAAAATACATTATTGTTTTTAATTGTCAGTTTAATGAAACTATCTACCACTAACTTGTTCAAAAACTCTCAAGTCAAAGTTGGACTTTGGACAGTAAACTTCTTTGATATACAAGAACATAATAGATGAGAGCAATTGCTAGCTCCTTCGATCCTCACCATCTTATTATTATTAGCTGAAAATGGTGGTGCACCACCCTATTCATCATGCCTTCTTCTTCTTCATGCTCCTTTTCTCCTTCCCAAATTATTCACAATCTTTAACCACTTATGGGGATGATGAAAGGGCTATTTTACTTATCCTAAAACAACACTGGGGGTATCCATTTTCACTATTTGAGCAGTGGAACTCCACTTCCTCCCCATGTGACTGGCCTGGAATTTCATGCAACTTCAATGCAAGTGTCACACGGATATCTCTCTCTAGAATGAGCATCCGAGGATCATTCCCGGCCTCAACTATTATATGCCATCTCAACAACCTTGTTTCAATCAATTTCAGTTGCAATAGTCTTTGGGGAACTATACCAGCTAACCTCTCCAGCTGCTCAAAGCTTGAAACCTTGGATCTATCCACAAATGATTTGACAGGAAAAATAGCAGGTGAGTTTTTTTCCATGAAAACCCTGCGTAGTTTAAATCTTCGAAGCAACATGTTGTTCGGTGAGATACCGACACCCATGGTGGCTTATAGTTTGGAGTTTCTTGATCTTTCAAGTAACCATTTGAATGGATCAATACCAGATGATATAGGAAATTTTTACAACCTTAGCTACTTAAATTTGTCCATGAATTGTTTGAGTGGTCCAATACCTGCTACATTGATGCGGTTGCATCAACTGTCTGATCTTTCACTTGTCTCTAACAATTTGACTGGTGAAATTCCTGCTAGATTATTTGACTTACTTAGTCTGAGTAACATAGATATTTCTCATAATCATCTGAGTGGAAGCATTCCAAGAGGCTTTGGAGAACTACATCAATTGAAGAATATTGATGAATCATACAACAAATTTTCCGGAGAAAAAAGCGAAACTGTTAGCCATATGTGGGATGCGAGACTAACCCTTGCAACAATTGTAACTTGTGTCGTGATTGTAGCGGCAGCAGTAGTCATCATTGGGATAGGAATTCTGGTGTTCAGACCTAGGGTTGGAAGGAGAAAACTCAGAAAAGAAAGTGATGGAGAAGAATGGAGTATGATTTCATTTCAAAGGTTGGGATTCAATAAATGGGATATTTTGGGCGGTTTGATAGATGAAAATTTGATTGGAAATGGAGGGTCAGGAAAAGTATACAGAGTGATCACCAAGAAAGGTCAAAGAGTTGCTGTCAAAAGTATAAGGCATGAACAAAAGCAAGGGCAGGGATTAATGGAGAAACAGTTCCTAGCAGAAGTTAAGATCCTCGGGGGAATTTGGCACAACAACATAGTGAAATTGTTATGTTGCATCAGAGGAAAGACAACAAAGCTTCTTGTGTATGAATACATGGACAAACAATGCCTTCATAAATGGTTGCATGGAAAGAAGAGAGGCTTAACTACTCAAGTCTTGCAGTGGGAGAGGAGGCTAAGAATTGCCATTGGAGCTTCACAAGGGCTTTGCTATATGCATCACAGTTGCAATCCACCCATTATTCATAGAGATATCAAGTCTAGTAACATACTCGTTGACTCTGACTTCAATGCCAAGATTGCAGACTTTGGACTGGCAAAGATGATGAAGAGTGAAGAAGATCCAGAAACAGCATCTGCTATTGTGGGAACCTTTGGTTACATTGCCCCGGGTACATTTTTTATGTCTTCATCATTTCAATTCCCATTGTTTTTTATACTTGCAGAATCACATATATATATATATATATATATATATATATATATATATATATATATATATCATAGGAATGCAGAATACGGCAGTACAAGAAAAGTGAATGCGAAGAGCGACATCTCGCGTAGTTCTATTGGAATTGACAACGGGAAGAGAAGCAGTGACTAGAAATGAGGATATAAACCTGGCACAATGGGCACACAAACACCAAAGAGAAGGGAACTCGGCTGCAAATGCCCTAGATGAGGAGATCAAGGACCCACGGTATCTGGAGGCAATGATCGCTGTTTTCAAATTAGGCCTTGCATGCACTTTGAATTCCCCATCAAGCAGACCGTCCATGAAAGATATTTCACAGATTCTTCAAAAATACAGCAAAAACAATCATCTGTCTCTAGAGAGCCAATAGACAATATAATATTTCCACTTTACTTTTGAATGGACTTGTCCCATTACAAAATATTTTGCAATGGTTTGTTTAATTTAATCATATTCACAGGAAACAGGCAACTTAAACATTAAAGGAATTAATGAAGCATGTTTACCTGTTCACAGCCCTCGCTTGCATCTTCAACCTCGTACAATCAATTATATACACCATGATTGCATCAAGATATCAACTCTAGCAACATACTCTTAAAGTCCTAGAGTCTGAATTCAATACTAAGATTGCAGACGACTTTGGACTAACAAATATGCCAGCAATTGAAGCAAATCCAAAAACATCTTGTGTGGGAACCTTTGAATTGGTTACATTGTCCCAAGTATGTTTTTCATATCTTCAATTAACACTTCAATTTTTTTTGATGTGTTTTACACCTAGTAGAATCACATGCATAGCACTATACTGCAGAGTGTAGCAACACAAGAAAAGTGAATGTGGATATCAACATCAATCTACAGCTTTGGCATAGCATTCTTGAAATTGGCAACTTGAAGAGAAGTTGAGAATGTAGATGAGGAGATGAACCTAGCAAAATGAGCATACAAATACTAAATATAAAGAAACTTAGCTATAAATACCCTAGATGAGGAGATAAGGATCCACGTTTAGGGGTGTTAGCGAACAGAGCTTTCGGCAAACTACTCGTGTTCGTGTTCGGTAAGCGTTCGTTTATGTTCGTTTGTTAAGGTAAACGAACATTAACAAACAAAATTTAGAGCTCGGTTAATAAACGAACAGAGCTTGAACAGTTGTAAGCTCGTTTGCTAAGAGATCGTGAACAAGCTCGTTTGTGTTCGTTTACTAATGTTCATGAACAAGCTTGTTTATGTTCATTTAATAATGTTCGTGAACAAGCTCGTTTGTGTTCATTTAATAATGTTCGCAAACATGTTCACAAACATATATTATATTATATTATATTAGTTTTTTAGTTGTGTTGTTTGTTTGATTATTCTTCGTGAACGTATATTATTTATTATTCACAAACGAATTGTGATCATGAACATGTGCAGGTGTTTGTTTATTAAGTATTCGTGAACGTAAATGAATATGTTTGTGAACGTGCTTGTTAATGAACATGTTTGTGAACGTGTTTGTTAACATTAACGAACACGTTTGCGAACGTGTTCACGAACGTTAACAAACACGTTCGCGAACATGTTCGTTAACGTTAACGAACACGTTCGTGAACATGTTCGCGAACGTTAACAAACACTAACGAACGCTTAACAAACGAACACGAACAGGATTTTCAAAAACCTTAACAAACGAACACGAACACGAACAGTCCAAATTCCTTAACAAACGAACACGAACAACCTCCGTTCGTTTATGTTCGGTTCGTTAACCGCCCTATCCACGTTATTTGGAGGTCGTGACCTCCATTTTTAAATTAGCCCCTACATGTACTTTGAGCTCTTCTTCAAACAAGTCATCCATGTAAGATATATTATAGATTCTTCAAAGATGCCAATAATTTCTTTTTCTTGATTGGTCTCTCCATATATAAATTAAGTCCTTCCAATAATTATATAGAATTTCAACATAAACATATTTCACACAACAAACCCAAACAAACGTCACCCCCTGTAAGAAATCAAGCCAAACTCTCAAGTTCTAAAGAAAGAAAAGAAAAACAGGTATTGATAGATGTATTCTCTAAATTAAACAACAAAAAATAGAGGAAGAAAAATAAATAAAAGAAAACAGATAATTAAAATAAACAACGTGCACGTACTTATCTCATTTCTATCTATTCTGGTCCACATATTTTACACCCAAATTAAAAGTATAAAAATTGTAATTTGGTTTAGAAATAAGGTAGCTGAGTTGATAATTCAGATATTATTATTGAGTCCAAGTCCAAGTCCACCCAACTTAATTTTTGGGTCACATTAAGCAATAGACCAATTAAGTCATCCTAAAATGCTCCTCACAATCTTTATATATATGGATCATCCATGCATTTTGGTTTTAAGTCTTCTTAGCTTAATTAATTGTTTGAAAATGCTGCAGTTGAGCCTCTTCATCATGCCTTGTATTCTTCTTCCTCCAATTCTCCTTGACAAATTCACAATCTTCAACCACTGAAAGGGCTATTTCACTTGGCCTAAAACTAGGACTACGAAAAGATAGAGAAACCCATAATATACTTGCAGAAACCAAAGATGATGCCTAATTACACTAGTTTTCCCTACAATGCTTTCTTTCCCTATTTCCACCAGCACTCAATCTCTGTTTTTCTTCTTCCATTTATGTTGCTCATCTTCTTTCTTCATCCATCTTCACCAACTCCTCTCAATGGACTTTACAAGGACTCACAGTTGCTATTATCCTTCAAAGCTACCATTGATAACCAAAGCTCACTTCAAAACTGGGTATCCTCCAAAAATCCCTGTAGCTTCACTGGTATTACATGCAAAGGATCAAGGGTCTCTTCTATAAATCTCACAGACACTAGGCTCATCATAGATTTTCGCATGGTTTCTTCTTACTTGCTCAGTCTTGAAAACCTGGAGAGCCTTGTGTTGAAGAATGCCGATCTCGAAGGCTCACTCGCTTCTGCCAAAAAATCCCAATGCGCTGCTTCTTTGAGGTACATAGATCTAGCTGAAAACTACATCTTAGGGCCTGTTTCTGATATCTATAGCCTTGGTCGTCGGTGCTATAATCTCCTTTCCAGCAACTCCATGGACCGTCCTGGGCGAGAGGTTGCTGCGGGTGGAGCAACCATTAGACTTCGAAGTCTTGATCTTTCTTATAACGAAATTTCAGGGCAGAACATATTTGTTATCCTGTCCCCCAGTGATTTTCCTGATCTTGAGTTGTTGTCTCTGAAGGGTAATAAATTATCAGGAAAAATTCCCAAATTGAGTTTTAGGAATTTGTCATATTTGTACCTTGGGGAGAATAATTTTCACGGGGAGCTTCCAGGGCATATTGGAGATTTATGTACAACTCTTGTGGAATTGGACTTGTCTTCCAACAACTTTTCAGGAATGGTCCCTGAGACACTTGGAACTTCAGATCTTTCCAACAATAATTTCTATGGTTTTATCATTCAATAATTTTGTTGGTGGCTTATCTCAGTCATTTTCTAGCTTGGTAAACTTAGAGACCTTAGATTTGAGTTCTAATAATGTCTCTGATTTGATACCCTCTAGGATTTGTAAAGACCCTAAGAATAGCTTGAAAGTGTTGTACCTTCAGAACAACATGTTCACTGGTCCAATACCTGAGAGTTTAACTGTTCCCAATTGGAATCTCTTGATCTTAGCTTTAATTACCTTTGGACCGCCGCCTCCTTTGAATATACAAGAACATAAAAAGAATATAGTCGGATTTTCATGTATGTTTAATTCAACTCAGTTTGAATTGTTCCAGGCCAGTCTAAATATTTGACGCCTAAATTAAAAGTATCCAAAGTCAATTTTAGTGTAGATATGGATTGGGCAGATGGAGTTTCTAAATATTATTATATTTAGGATAATCCAAAATTTAGTTCAGATATGATTAACTCCAAGTCCAAGTCCACCCGACTTAATTTCTGGTTCACATTAAGCAACAATAGACCAAGTCAGCCTCTTTCAGTAGTAAAGGAAGTGAGTGATGAGCAGCAAGCAATATAATAGAATAGGAAGACCAATTCAGCTAATAAGCTAAGGATCCTAATTCTCATCACCATTATATTACATTAAGAGCTTAGAAGCACATCTGGTCTTATTATTAGCTCCTCCGATATGATCCTCACTCACTCCTCACCATCTTATTATTATTATTAGCTTAATTAATTAATTGTTTGACGATGCTGTTGCACCACCCTATTCATCATGTCTTCATCTTCTTCATGCTCCTTTTCTCCTTCCCAAATTATTCACAATCTTTAACCACTTATGAGGATGATGAAAGGGCTATTTTACTTATCCTAAAACAACACTGGCGATATCCATTTTCACTATTTGAGCAGTGGAACTCCACTTCCTCCCCATGTGACTGGCCTGGAATTTCATGCAACTTCAATGGAAGTGTCACACGGATATCTCTCTCCGGAATGAACATCCCAGGATCATTCCCGGCCTCAACTATTATATGCCAGCTCAACAACCTTGTTTCAATCAATTTCAGTTCCAATAATCTTTGGGGAACTATACCAGCTAACCTCTCCAGCTGCTCAAAGCTTGAAGAGTTGGATCTATCTGCAAATTATTTCACAGGAAAAATACCAGGAGATTTATGTACAACTCTTGTGGAATTGGACTTGTCTTCCAACATATTATCAGGTGTGGTCCCTGAGACCCTTGGTGATTGCTCAACCTTGGAACTTCTAGATCTATCCAACAATAAATTCTCTGGTGAGTTGCCTGAGTCAATTAGTTTGACTAGCTTGAAGACACTGGTTTTATCATTCAATAATTTTGTGGGTGGCTTGTCTGAGTCATTGTCTAGCTTGGTAAGCTTAGAGACTTTAGATTTGAGTTCAAATAACATCTCTGGTTTGATTCCCTCTGAAATTTGTAAAGACCCTAAGAATAGCTTGAAAGTGTTGTACCTTCAGAATAACCTGTTTACTGGTCCAATACCTGAGAGTATAAGCAACTGTTCCCAATTGGAATCTCTTGATCTTAGCTTTAATTACCTTAAAGGGAAGATACCATCTAGCCTCAGGTCCTTGTTGAAGCTCAAGGATTTGATCATTTGGATGAATTGGCTTGAAGGGGAAATCCCGAGGGAGCTAATGTACTTGCAGTCTTTGGAAAATCTGATTCTTGATTTCAATGAATTGTCAGGGTCAATGCCTGAAAGTCTCAGCAACTGTACTCATTTGAATTGGATTTCTTTGTCGAATAATTTGTTGAGTGGTGCTATACTTGCTTCATTAGGGCAGTTGTCTAGTCTATCCATTCTGAAGTTGGGAAACAACACCATCTCTGGGAGCATACCTGCTGAGTTGGGGAATTGCCGCAGCTTGTTATGGTTGGATCTCAACACCAATTTCTTGAACGGTACTATCCCACCTGCTCTGTTCTTACAATCTGGCAATATTGCAACGCCATTACTTACTGAGAAGCAATATGTGTATATAAAGAATGATGGATGTGAATGCCACGGAGCAGGAAATATACTCGAATTTGGTGGGATTACACAGGATCGCCTTGACAGGATTTCAATGAGGTATCCCTGCAATATTAATGCAGTCTACTGGGGCATTGCACAACCAACATTTCACCACAACGGATCCATCTTTTTCCTTGACCTTTCATACAATAAGTTGGAAGGCAGTATTCCAAAGGAATTAGGTTCCATGCGGTATCTCAATTTTCTGAGTTTAGGGCATAATGATCTCTCTGGACCAATACCCCAAGAACTTGAAGGCTTGAAGTATGTTGAACGCCTTTATATATCACACAACCGACTCAATGGCTCAATTCCACAAACTTTGAAAAATCTCATATCTCTTTCAGTTCTTGATCTGTCTAATAACCAACTTTCTGGAATGATACCTTGTTCAGGTCAATTTGCAACATTAACTGGAGAATCATTTGCGAATAATTCTGGCCTTTATGATTGCTATCATCCTCAGGATGGCCTAGAACCAAGTCCAAGTTTAAGTTCAATTTCTAAGTCTAGCAGATCAAAGAAAAAGCATTATATCATTATAGGGTGTGGTGTAATTGCAGGGCTACTAATTTGGTTAGTAACTCAGTTACTCGTGATAAGACTTGCAGGGAAAGGGAGAATGGAAAATGATGGAGAAGAATGGAGTATGGTTTCATTTCAAAGATTGGGATTCAATAAATGGGATATTTTGGGTGGTTTGACCGATCAAAATTTGGTTGGAGATGGAGGGTCAGGAAAAGTATATAGAGTGATCACAAAGAAAGGCAAAAAAGTTGCTCTTAAAAGTATAAGGCATGAACGAAATGAAGGCCACATTTTGGAGAAGCAGTTTATAGCAGAGGTTAAGATCCTTGGGGGAATTTGGCACAACAACATAGTGAAATTGTTATGCTGCATCAGAGGAAAGACTACAAAGCTTCTTGTGTATGAATACATGGACAAACAATGTGTTCACAAATGGTTGCATGGAAAGAAAAGAGGCTTAACTACTCAAGTCTTGCAGTGGGAGAGGAGGCTAAAAATTGCCATTGGAGCTTCACAAGGGCTTTGCTATATGCACCACAGTTGCAATCCACCCATTGTTCATAGAGATATCAAGTCTAGTAACATACTCGTCGACTCTGACTTCAATGCCAAGATTGCAGACTTTGGACTGGCAAAGATGATGGCGAGTGAAGGAGATCCAGAAACAGCATCCGCTATTGTGGGAACTTTTGGTTACATTGCCCCAGGTATGTTTTTTATATCTTCAACACTTCAATTCCTGCAATGCTTTATTGTCGCAGAATCACATGTTTATAGCACGGGAATGCAGAATACAGCAGCACAAGAAAAGTGGATGCGAAGAGCGACATCTACAGCTTTGGCGTAGTACTCTTGGAATTGACAACGGGAAGAGAAGCAGTGACTGGAAATGAGGATATGAACCTGGCACAATGGGCACATAAACACCAAAGAGAAGGAAACTCGGCTGTAGATGCCCTGGATGAAGAGATCAAGGATCCATGTTACCTGGAAGCCGCGACCATTGTTTTCAAATTAGGCCTTGCGTGTACTTTGCGTTCTCCTTCAAATAGGCCATCCATGAAAGATGTTTTGCAGATTCTTCAAAGATGCAACAATGCCTTTGAGAGAGCTGTTCCGAATGGGGCGACTGAAACTCAAATCAACAGTGAGAACAACCATTTGTCTTCAAGGAGTGGATAGACAATATTTCCCTTTTTCCTTTAGAATGGACTTATCCCATTGCAAAATCCTATGTTTAATGTGAATTTTGTACTTAATATGGCCAATTTGATTTTCCTCGTAATTATTACGATTTCCTCATAAATAATATTCAATTAACTTATCCTGAATTAGTATTACGTAACTCTTCAACCCCTAAATATAATCATATATAATGAACCTCCAATTTGTTTCCTTGATTTTCTTTGATGTTAAGTAAGTATATTGGAGTTCCAAAATTAAAAATATTCACAGGAAACAGGCAACTTAAGCAGTGGATGAATTAATGAAGCATGTTTACCTGTTCACAGCCCTCGATTGCATCTTCAAGCTCGTACGATCATGTCCTCATCTCAAACCTCTTCTACACATTGCTGCTGTGACAACTCGGGGAGTAGGTGGTGGTCATGGTCCACCTCCGGCACCGATTCCGGCAACTGTACCACCTCCTCCGTCACCACCAATTTCAGTAACTCAGGCTGCACCAGCTGCTAATTGGCCAGAAATCCTTAAAAAGTGTATTGGATGTGATTGTCCTGAATTGGTATTACTCGGAGTTGGCAGCAATTTGTGTTAGTGGAGGGAGTAGTGAAGGAAATGGTTTGGGCAACCACTTCGTGGGAGAATTTGAAAAATAGGGCTTTTTATTGGTTAGTTTTTTCCTCGTAATTTAGGACTAAGATGAAGGGAAAATTGTAATTTATGACTAAGATGATGGGAAAATTGTAATTTATGCTCATTCATAATATTTCAATTATTAATGTTATTTATGAATTATTAGTGGTGTAAATGTTGCCATTTAATTTTCAAAACGGTATATATATTGCCCCTCAATAGTATAAATATTGCCCCTTAATTTTTAAATCGGTACATATATTGCTCTCACATACCGTACGTGAGAGGCAATATATGTACCGTTTTAAAATTGAGGGGCAACATTTACACCACTAATAATTTAGGGATGACATTGATAATTGGCATATTATGGAAAGACATAAATTATAAATTTTCCTAGGATGAATGATTTAATTGGGTAGGATGATACTAGACCAATCTCAATAATTGAGATTTTTTCTTCAGTTTTTTTGTGACCCCAATATTCATTTCATCATTCACTATCTCACTCAATCTCAAAAATCATTCTTTGGAATAATTTTATTTTATTTATAAGTTTTGTATGGATCCACCTTTTCAAATTAACTATATTTTAATTAATTATTTATTATTATTATTATAAAAATTATAATTGTAATTATAATTATTATTGAGAACTAATCATCTAGTCCCCCACTTTCTTGAGATTTCGCGAAGTCGATGTCTCAGGAAAGTATCTAAAAAATATTCTCTGATCTGTTCTCTGCTTCTAAAAGTCAAGTCTTCTAGGTTGTGGTCCTTAGGTTGTGGTCCTTTTGAATGCAACCGTTAAACTGCGCTGGTCATGGTAAGCCCCTAAGCCAGAGCTGAGTGTAGGGGGCCCAAATTACACTAGTTGCCTCGTTAAAAATCTTAGACTATGAAAAATCCAGTAGGAAAAAACTTAACTAAGGAGAAAAGAGTACAACTATGAGTGCAATCTTTAGGGCTATAAAGAGTCTTCTTTCATGTCATTAACTCCTTCTGGCTGAATCTCAAGTGATTCTTCCTTTCCGATAAGCTTTTTGTAACTATTTCCTGCAAGATAAATAAATAAGATGTGATTAGACATACATGCCTTTAGTTGATTTGTTGCGAACGCTACAACGCTACCTATGCGCACCGAATACCCGTCCAGGTCATATGTTGGATATGCTATCGATAGTTGCAGGAATTTTATGTATACTTTAAGTTTTTGCTCAGTCAATTTTGTTCCTAGACTACAGAATTTATTAGCACATACTTTAGCTACTTTAGCTTTAAATTCGACTACAACTATGTACTGGGACGATGTCCTACTAGACTCTATTTCAATTGATCTATAAATACAACCACATTGATTGACCTTCAAAAAAAAAAAAAAAAAAGGAATCATTTATGGTCTAATTGAAAGTCGATGTAAAAATTGATAAATATTAATAGTTAAGAAATCTGAAATTAATTTTTCTATTTAGTATAAGAAACATATTCATGTGAAAAGTTATAGGTTCACACTTTGATTGAAATAGAGATTGCGCTAATAATTTAGGTGTGTGGTTGGGTGAAAGGGACTCATCCTTCCTTAACCAAACGTCAAGAGTTCCTTCGTTTCCATGACCATGAAGACGATGGTCTCTTCGTCTCCTCTATGGTCGGTGGTCGCCAGAGACGAAGACGGTCGGTCTGTTTTAGTTTTTTTTAATTAATTATTTTATTTACAATTATTTTTAAATATTATTTTTAAAATTTGTAAACGTCATTTCAGGTAAACAGGTCATTTTGGATCTAATTGCATGATTTTGTGATGTTCAGGAACCTAATTGCATTATTTTTAATTTGAGTTTGATAACCTAATTACATTTTGGTGTGCAGTTAAGTTGTCTAATTATATTTTGGTGTGTAGTTGGTGGCCTATTTGACCCTGTCATTAACAAACACATCAACTTAAATTGCTAAACATAAACATCAGACTTTGATTTTAATTTTGAAATATGGAATCAAATGAGGCGGCTGAGTTGGACTAGGGAGGAGTATGATTGATTGAAGCAAATCATAAGGCTCAATTTTCCCTCAACTGGCTAACACTTCTTCATATATATTCTCAATTGTTGTACTGCTCCAAATTCTCTTGGAATAGTTGCACTCAGATGATAATGACTATTGAGAAAGGTTTAAGAGCAATCTCAATAATATTAGTTTTTTTGTGTAATTTTAACAAACTAATTAGGAGAGAGAGGACTATGTGGTCTAATGGTACCCGGGTTGGACTTCCATTTGGAAGATTATGAGTTCGAGCCTCAGTGGAGGCGTTATTGGTTCTTTGTGTTTCAGCAGGCGTTATTGGTTCTTTGTGTTTCAGCAGGTTGAGAAAGTATATGAACAGATACTACAATGTAATAGGACCAGTAACTTTCAAAAAAAAAAAAAAAAAAAATTAGGAGAGAGAGGAAGAGAGAAAATTAGGTTGCAGTAGTCGGGCGGCCGGGCAGCGCCTAGGCCATAGTTGCTTCTATTTACCCTACTTAGTGGCAAGGTTGCAGTAGTCGGGCGGCCGGGCAGCGCCTAGGCGTCGCTAGGCGGGCACCAAAAAAATTAAAAAAAATAGTGACAGACTTGTAGTTCGGCAATTTTAATGAGATTGTTTTCAACGTTCACTCAAATAACACATCTAAATAAATGAAATAATGATAATTTATAAGTCATAATGTCATAATAATATTAAAATCAATAATTAATGAAAGACGACATCGGTCAAAATCGAACAAAATCGATCAAAATCAGACAAAATCGGTCAAAATCGGTCGACTCGACCGAATTGGCCGAGTTTGGCCGCCCAGGCCGCCTAGGCGGCCGGCCGAGTTTTGGCCGCCTTTAGGCCAAAACTCTAAGGCTCGGTGCCGCCTAGCGCCTAGGCGGTTAGACGGCCGAGTTTTGCAACCTTGCTTAGTGGATCCCACAAAAAAACTATTATTTGCAAGAAAAAAACTTTTTAAAAAATCCACTCTTATTAGCCAAAAAACCACCTCAAGTATTTTTAGTTTGCGAAAAATCTCAAAAATCACTAACGGGGTTGGCCTAAGTGGCTCTTATTAGGACTCTTTATTTGTGGTAGACTAGAGGGGGTGTATTCAATCATGACTTTCATAGAGTTTTAAAGACTTTTATGAACATAAAAAGTTTGGAGGTATTCAATTCAAACTTTTAGATAGTTTTTAAAAGTCAAGCGGTATTCAATCAAGATTTTTAAAGAGTTTTTAAAAGTCGTGTGGTATTCGATTAAGACTTTTAAAGAGTTTTTAAAAGTCATGTGGTATTCAAAAAGTTATGAACTTTTGTAGACTTTTTAATTTTAGGACTTTTGTATTGAAATCCAACCATCAACTCCAAGATTTCAAAATTTTCTTTCTAACAACTTTGAATATTTTCTCTCTCTATTTAAACTCTATTTTTTCTCCCTATTTAAACTTTATAAACCTATCTAAATTTAATAAAATTATTTTTTCTTCATTATCCTATATTTTCCTCATGCCTAACCTATACCAATTTTTCTCTCTCTCCTAAACATTACAATCTTCTTCTACAAATTCGAAATAATATTATTTTTTACTTCATTATTGCTTGTTTATATTGATTTTATTTTTTTATTAATTTTTTATCCCTAACTTTCTCTAGTTCTCCCTAAATACATGAACAAAACAAAATTTTCATCGTCAAATTTTAGTATATGTTTCATAATATTCATATAAATACTTATATATTATGATTTTTATTCTTTTTATGTTTATATATATATATATATATATATATATATATATATATATATTAACAATAGGCTACTATGAATGGCGAGCTACTGTTTGTAACAACAATTTGGGGTTGCAAACAGTAGCACTTTGTTGTTGTTCGCAGTCTCAAATTGCTATTGCAAATAATAGTTATTTGCGTGATGCCTAGCAATATATAAGTATAATTATATATATATATATATATATATATATATTATTAATATTATATTTTTATTTTTTTTATTTTATGCAACTTGTAATTATATTTTTAAATATTTAATTTGATCAATTCTTTTATTATAAATTTTATTGTTCAATATTGTTATAAATTTCTAATGAAATGGTTTTTTTGTTGTTGATGTTTATTAATAATGTATATATATAAATAATTAGCTTATAAGTCTCAGCATACTATGGATAAAAATAATAATGTTGAGAATGTTGATATAGGTGAAAAACTATATAATAAGAAGAATTTTATGATATATTATAAATGTTTTGTAAGAAAATTATAAATGATAAGAATCAAAATCATTGAAAGTTTGTAAGGATGTATTCAATTTAGAATTTCAATAACTTTTGTAGACTTTTTAAAAGAAAAAGTTGATAAAAGTCTATGAATGTTTTTCATATAGACTTTTATAGAGTCTTATAAAGTTTTAAAAAATTTTGAACGACTCTATGAATATCAATCAAAGTTTATTAAAATCTATCATTTTAAAAGTCTTTAAAACTCTACAAAAGTCATGATTGAATACACCCCCTAGGATTCTATTCTTGTACATGTCAAACTAGGATTCTAATCTCATTCCTTGTTATATATCTCTTGTATTATTCCTTTTCATTAATCTCATTCCTTGTTATATATCTCTTGTATTATTCCTTTTCATTATTAATCCAATACTACAGTTTTGGCATAGTTCTCTTGGAATTGATATCTTGGAATTGACAACGGGAAGAGAAGCGGTGACTGGAAATGAAGATATGAACCTGGCACAATGGGCACACAAACACCAAAGAGAAGGGAACTCAGCTGTAGATGCCTTAGATGAGGAGATCAAGGACCCACGGTATCTAGAGGCAATGATCGATGTTTTCAAATTAGGCCTTGCATGCACTTTGAATTCCTCATCAAGCAGAACGTCCATGAAAGATATTTCACAGATTCTTCAAAGATACAGCGAAAACAATCATTTGTCTCTAGAGAGCCAATAGACAATATAATATTGACACTTTACTTTTGAATGGACTTGTTCCATTACAAAATATTTTGCAATGGTTTGTTTAATTTAATTTGACTATTGCACTCACAATGCAATTATGCAGGATCCATCATAATTCATATTTCATAATGCAACTCCACTTTGTTTCCTTGATTTTCTTAGATGTTAAAGTGATAAATAAACTTTCTGGAGCGCAATCGTAATTGCATTGGAGTTCCAAAATTAATAATATTCACAGGAATTGAAACAGGCAACTTAACAATTTGGAGGAATTAATGAAGCATGTTTACCTGTTCACAGGCCTCGCTTGCGTCTTCAAGCTCGTACGATCAATTATATACACCATGATTGCATCAAGATATCAACTCTAGCAACATAGTCTTAAAGTCCCAGAGTCTGAATTCAATACTAAGATTGCAGGCTTTGCAAGGTGGACACAGTTCTAAAACTGTTCATAATTATGAATATAAGTTCAAAAATTATAAACATATAGTTTTATAATTATGAACATATAATTTTGAGATTATAACTATAGAGATTCAATAATTGTGAATATGAAGTTCAAAAATTATGAATATATAGCTTTATAATTATGAACATATAGTTCAGTAATTGTGAATATAGTTGAATAATTATGAATATGAAATTCAAAAATATGAATATATAGCTTTATAATTATGAACATATAATTCAATAATTATGAACATAGAACAGTGTCTACCTTGCAAGGCGGTTCCATAGCATAACGATTGATTGAAGTAAACGCCGGGTCATTAACTCAATTCTATGTATTCTGGTCCAAATATGTTACACTAAAATCCAAGTATTTAAATTGAATTTTGGTTTAGAAATCCGTTAGCAGAGTATGTAGACTCCAAGCAATCGTTATACCCTACACCACGGTGTGCGTAGCACGGTGCGCCGCGCGCCTCCCAAAACAACGTCGTTTTGGGAGGTGCGGTAGAAAATTGCTATGATTATGTATATTTGTTCATACAATTATGTACATTTGTTCATATAATTATGTGCATTCTTTTTATACAATTATGTACATCCGAATAAGGAAATTTATGTGTATTATGTTAAGAGTTGATGTGTATTATGTTAAAAGTTTATATTTATTATGTATTATGTTAGATTATGTGTATTATCTCTTAAAAAAGAGTATGTATGTTTTGTTATATAATTATGTACATTCATGTATACAATTATGTGTATTCTAGTATAACATTATGTACATTTTTGAACATTTAAAGAAAAATTAACTGCCAAACACTGGGGCGGGAATTTTCAAAAAAAAAATAAAAAAATTGAAACGACGTCGTTTTGCATCTGGGCGCACAATGCAACGCGCGCCATGGTGCAGGATATAAATTGCCTGGTAGTCCAAGTCCACCCAACGTAATTTATGGTTCAAATCGAGCAATACAGATAGTTATGCTGTGCATCCGTATGCACCATGCATGGTGCATACGGATGCCAAAACGACGTCGTTTTATTAAAAAACGCGCGTCTCCCCTTTAAAAAAAATTCAGGTTCGATTCCCAGCAACAACATTATATTGTTCATTCATTCTGGAATTTTAGTTCATAGATTATGGAATTATAGTTCATTGATTATGGAATTATAGTTCATCGATTATGGAATTGTAGTTCATCGATTCTGAAATTTTAGTTTATAGATTATGGAATTTTAGTTCATTAATTCTGGAATTTTTAGTTCATAGATTAGATTATGGAATTATAATTCATCGATTATGGAATTATAGTTCATCGATTATGGAATTTTAGTTCATATGTTGTTGCTGGGAATCGAACCTGATTTTCTTTTTTAAGGGGAGACGCGCGTTTTATTAAAACGACGTCGTTTTAATAAAACGCGCGTCTCCATACGGATGCACAGCATAATTTGCCGAGCAATACACCAATCAAGTCATTCTCATAGTCAGGACTAATTTTTTAGGGACAAATTATAAACAAGAACACGAATTATAATTGAATTTTAAATACTTTGTAATTAAGTAGAAGATTTTTTTTATTTTTTTATTTGGTAGCAAATTATATTGCCATCAAATTAATTAATTAATTAATAATAAATAAATATATATATAAAAATATATAATACACGCACATATGTGAGTGTGTGTATTAGTTATTTTGACAAGTTATTTCCTCTCGCTTCTTTGGCGACTTATTCTCTCTCATTTCTTTGGCAAGTTCTTTTTTCATTAATGTGAAACGATTTAATTTATCAAGGCGTATGTTTATCTCATCTTGAGCAACGAACAAGATCTGAACCATGATATGCAGTTCAGATTAATAAAGATATTGTCTACGGACAGATGAGCTGCAATAGTTACTCAGGTGGTATGCAAGACTTCTCAAATAGAGTCAGTGTTGGATAGCCAGATCATTAACAACATCAAAGAAGCTTCAAGTTACTCCATTGAATTCAGCTTCAATTTTGTAACACAGTTTGCGATTCAAGTTTCTTTTAGCATTGCTAGGAAAGTTGTTTCTATGTTTGACTGTAAAGAATGTTTTATCATTTTATCGATTTTTATTGTAACTGTTTCAACTTATGATTAATGAATTAGTTCTTTATTTTCAAAAATAAAAAATAAAAAAGAATGATTTCTTTTATTTTTTTCTTCATCATTTTTTATTCCATTGTTCAAAAGTAAGGGAACAAAAATGGTAGTGAGTTTTAAGATTTATGAACGATTTCAATTCAATAGTAGTATAAGAAGAGTAGTCCTCATAGGGAGTCCAAATGAGATGATTCAAGTGTCAAAGGAAAGATAAGGAAGTCCTCAACAACTTTAATATTGAACATTTTGAGAGATTCCGGATGCATTCATACCAGAATATCATAACATTCAATTCGGACACGTCCTGAGGAATTTGTCTTGCAACAAGTTGATAGTGTTTTGATCATATCTCCTTAATATAAAGTCCAATCAAGGTGATTCAAGTGACTATGGAAAGCTAAGAGAGTGTCCTGCAACTTTTATGTTCAAAGTTTTTTCATATTCGGAACAAAACAATACCAAACTTGATTGCCTAGTTGTATTTCCAGTTTGTTTGGTGATTTAATATAAATTCTGTTCTTTGGTTTTAAGGAAAAAAAAAAAAAAAAAACATAGCCAAAAATTAGACTCTGTTTAAATTTTCAAATATGGAATAATCAAATCATTCAAATGTGGCAGCTGTCCAAAGTCGGAGTTGGAGTAGGGAGGGCAGTATGATTGGTTGAAGCAAATCCTAAGGCTCATGTTCTCGACGGTCTAACACTTCTCCATATTCATTCATCTAATATTATATAACATCTATACAAAACTAATAAATAAATAAAATAAAGAAAAAAAAAACCCCAATGAAGAATCCAAAATTAAAAATTTTAATCTCCCAAAAAAGAAATTGTGAAAATACATTATTGTTTTTAATTGTGAGTTTAATGAAACTATCTACCACTAACTTGTTCAAAAACTCTCAAGTCAAAGTTGGACTTTGGACAGTAAACTTCTTTGATATACAAGAACATAATAGACGAGAGCAATTGCTAGCTCCTTCGATCCTCACCATCTTATTATTATTAGCTGAAAATGGTGGTGCACCACCCTATTCATCATGCCTTCTTCTTCTTCATGCTCCTTTTCTCCTTCCCAAATTATTCACAATCTTTAACCACTCATGGGGACGATGAAAGGGCTATTTTACTTATCCTAAAACAACACTGGGGGTATCCATTTTCACTATTTGAGCAGTGGAACTCCATTTCCTCCCCATGTGACTGGCCTGGAATTTCATGCAACTTCAATGCAAGTGTCACACGGATATCTCTCTCTGGAATGAGCATCCCAGGATCATTCCCGGCCTCAACTATTATATGCCAGCTCAACAACCTTGTTTCAATCAATTTCAGTTCCAATAGTCTCTGGGGAACTATACCAGCTAACCTCTCCAGCTGCTCAAAGCTTGAAACCTTGGATCTATCCACAAATCATTTGGCAGGAAAAATAGCAGGTGAGTTGTTTTCCATGAAAACCCTGCGTAGTTTAAATCTTCAACACAACATGTTTTCCGGTGAGATATCAACACCCATGGTGGCTTATAGTTTGGAGTCTCTTGATCTTTCAAGTAACCATTTGAATGGATCAATACCAGATGATATAGGAAATTTTTACAACCTTAGCTACTTAAATTTGTCCATGAATACTTTGAGTGGTCCAATACCTGCTACATTGTTGCGGTTGCATCAACTCTCTCATCTTTCACTTGCCTCAAACAATTTGACTGGTGAAATTCCTGCTAGATTATTTGACTTGCTTAGTCTGAGTAGCATAGATCTTTCTCATAATCATCTGAGTGGAAGTATTCCAAGAGGCTTTGGAGAACTACATCAATTGCAGAATATTGATGTATCATATAACAAATTTTCCGGAGACATATGTGAATCTGTTAGCCATATGTGGGATGCGAGACTAACCCTTAGGATGTGCAAGAACCACTTTTCTGGGAGAATACCTTACGAGCTAGTAAAGCTAAAATTTGTGGACACATGCCTTGATCATGTGAATTTATGTTCAGAACAGCTGTTTTCTAGCTCTGAACAAATGGTTATGGAACTCCCAACATGCCCTTCCCAAAGCTTTTCGGGATTATACAATTCCACTGCACATAAACTGCAGAAGTTCCAATGAGCTAAGTAAATCAAACAAAACCCAACCTTCGAAACCAAATCATACGAGGATTGTAACTTGTGTCGTGATTGCAGCGGCAGTAGTACTCATCATTGGGATAGGAATTCTGATACTGGTGTTCAGACCTAGGGTGGGAAGGAGAAAACAAAGTGATGGAGAAGAATGGAGTATGATTTCATTTCAAAGGTTGGAATTCAATAAATGGGATATTTTGAGTGGTTTGATAGATGAAAATTTGATTGGAAATGGAGGGTCAGGAAAAGTATATAGAGTGATTACCAAGAAAGGCCAAAGAGTTGCTGTTAAAAGTATAAGGCATGAACAAAAGCAAGGGCATGGATTAATGGAGAAACAGTTCATAGCAGAGGTTAAGATCCTTGGGGGAATTTGGCACAACAACATAGTGAAATTGCTATGCTGCATCAGAGGAAAGACGACAAAGCTTCTTGTGTATGAATACATGGACAAACAATGCCTTCATAAATGGTTGCATGGAAAGAAGAAAGGCTTAACTACTCAAGTCTTGAACTGGGAGACAAGACTAAAAATTGCCATTGGAGCTGCACAAGGCCTCTGCTATATGCATCATGATTGCAGTCCACCCATTGTTCATCGAGATATCAAATCCAGTAACATACTCGTCGACTCTGACTTCAATGTCAAGATTGCAGACTTTGGACTGGCAAAGATGATGGCGAGTGAAGGAGATCCAGAAACAGCATCTGCTATTGTGGGAACCTTTGGTTACATTGCCCCGGGTACATTTTTTTTATATCTTCATCACTTCAATTCCCACTGCTTTTTATACCTGCAGAATCACATATATCATGGGAATGCAGAATACAGCAGAACAAGAAAAGTGGACGCGAAGAGCGACATCTACAGTTTTGGCGTAGTACTCTCGGAATTGACAACGGGAAGAGAAGCAGTGACAGGAAATGAGGATATGAACCTGGCACAATGGGCACACAAATACCAAAGAGAAGGGAACTCGGCTGCAGATGCCATAGATGAGGAGATCAAGGACCCATGTTATCTGGAGGCAATGATCGTTGTTTTCAAATTAGGCCTTGCATGCACTTTGAATTCCCCATCAAGCAGGCCGTCCATGAAGATATTTCACAGATTCTTCAAAGATACAGCGAAAACAATCATCTGTCTCTAGAGAGCCAATAGACAATATAATATTCCACTTTACTTTTGAATGGACTTGTCCCATTAGAAAACATTTTGCAATGGTTTGTTTAATTTAATTTGACTATTGCATTGACAGTGCAATTATGCAGGATCCATCATAATTCATATTTCATAATGCAACTCCACTTTGTTTCCTTGATTTTCTTAGATGTTAAAGTGATAAATAAACTTTCTGGAGCGCAATAGTAATTATATTGGAGTTCCAAAATGAATAATATTCACAGGAATTGAAACAGGCAACTTAACCATTGGAGGAATTAATGAAGCATGTTTACCTGTTCACAGGCCTCACATGCGTACGATCAATTATATACACCACGATTGCATCAAGATATCAACTCTAGCAACATACTCTTAAAGTCCCAGAGTCTGAATTCAATCAGACTTTGGATTAACAAATATGTCAGCAATTGAAACAAATCCAAAAAACATGCTAGTGTGGGAACCTTTTGTTACATTGTCCCAAGTATGTTTTTCATATCTTCAATTAACACTTAAATTTTTTTGATGTGTTCTACACCTAGTAGAATCACATAGCACTATACTGCAGAGTGTGGCAACACAAGAAAAGTGAATGTGAATATCAACATCTATAAGTCCTCCAATAATTATATAGAATTTCACCCAAATAATATTTCACCCAACAAACCCAAACAAATGTCACTCCGTGTAAGAAATCAAGCCAAACTCAAGTAAAGAAAAGAAAGAAAAAAAAAAAAAAAAGTATTGATAGATCTATTCTCTAAATTAAAGAGCAAAAAATTGAGGAAGAAAAATGAATAAAAGAAATAGATAATTAACATAAACAAGGCGCACGTACTTAACTCATTTTTATCTATTTGAAAGTAGTATACATAAAATACATTATTTGAAAGTACATGATTTTTTATATATTATCAAATAATGTACATTCAGTACATAAATAATGTACTTTTAGTATATTAAAAATGTATATTGCATTCATGGTCCACACAATAATTTTCCAATTAATTTCTGGGTCACATTAAGCAATAGATTTGGTTTTCAGTCCTTTTAGCTTAATTAATTGTTTGAAAATGCTGCAGCTGAGCCTCTTCATCATGCCTTGTATTCTTCTTCCTCCATTTCTCCTTGCCAAATTCACATTCTTCAACCACTGAAAGGGCTATTTCACTTGGCCTAAAACTAGGACCATGAAAAGATTGAGAAACCCATATATAATATACTTGCAGAAACCAAAGATGAGGCCTAATTACACTAGTTTTCCCTACAATGCTTTCTTTCTCTATTTACACCAGCACTCAATCTCCATCTTTCTTCTTCCACTTATGTTGCTCATATTCACCAACTGCTCTCAATGGGCTTTACAGGGACTCGCAGTTGCTATTATCCTTCAAAGCTAGCATTTTTAACCAAAGCCCACTTCAAACTGGGTATCCTCTAAAAATCCCTGTAGCTTCACTGGTATTACATGCAAGGGCTCAAAGGGTCTCTTCTATACATCTCACAGACACTATGCTCAGCGTAGATTTTGGCTTGGTTCCTACTTACTTGCTTAGTCTTGAAAACTTGCAGAACCTTGTGTTGAAGAACACCAATCTCAGCGGCTCTCTCACTTCTGCCTTAAAATCCCAATGCTCTGCTTCTCTTAGCTACATAGATCTAGCTGAAAACTTCATCTCAGGGCCTGTTTCTGATATCTATAGCCTTGGTCGTCGGTGCAATAATCTCAAGTCCCTCAACCTTTCCAGCAACTCCATGGACCCTCCTGGGAGGGAGGTTGCTGCAGGTGGAGCAACCATTAGACTTCAAAGTCTTGATCTTTCTTACAACAAAATTTAAGGGCAGAACATATTTGTTATGCTGTCCCCCAGTGATTTTCCCGATCTTGACTTGTTGTCTCTGAAGGGTAATAAATTATCAGGAAAAATTCCGGAATTGAGTTTTTAGGAATTTGTCATATTTGGACCTTTCTGCCAATAATTTCTCTGAAAATTTTCCTCCATTTCAAGACTGCTCTAGTTTACAACATCTTGATTTATCATCCAGCAAGTTCATTGGTAATATTGGTGCCTTCCTTTCTTCATGCTCCAACCTCAGTTTCCTCAATCTCTCCAACAATATGTTCTGGGGTAGTGTTGCTAAGCTGCCTAGTGGGAGTTTGCAGTATTTGTACCTATGGGGAAATGATTTTCAGGGGGAGCTTCCAGGGCATATTGGATATTTATGTACAACTCTTGTGGAATTGGACTTGTCTTCCAACAACTTTTCAGGTATGGACGTATGGTCCCTGAGACACTTGTTGATTGCTCAGCCTTGGAACTTCTAGATCTTTCCAACATTAATTTCTCTGGTGAGTTGCCTGTAGAAACCCTACTAAATTTGACTAGCTTGAAGACATTGGTTTCCTCGGGTGGGGGTGGCAGTCATATGGGCATCTTTGTCAATACTAGCAGATATATTTTAATGGTTCATTTCCAATCCAAATGATTTGAGCCATTTAATTTGTGTTCTGTGATTCTTGCATTAACTGGAAGAATATCGGACACAACTATAGACTTAGGCTCAGACATTAGGCTATCCAACAAGAAGATATCTCAAATCAGACAACCAAACTTCCAGAATCAGACCTCTAAGCCACAACAAACACACAAACAGCCACACAACTTCACTGTCTAGCAAAGCAAAAAATAAGAGGGATATTACCGGGACCTCCAATGCCAAAACCGAGCCTAGAGCAGCGACGTAGAAGACCGGGCGACCTCGGGAAAGTAGACCGGAGTGGATTCCGGCGCCGGAGTGACGCACACGCGCCGGCGCGTGGACAGCCGGCAAGGGACGAAGGTGGCGCGTGAGGGCCACTCGCCGGGCGAAATCACGTCGAATTCAGCAGTCCGGCCTATCGGCGACCGGCGACTCTGCTCCTGATGGTGGTGACGACAAACGGCCGGCGACAATTCCGACCCAAACCTCCACCGTGCGCAGAAGCAGAAAGAGGAAAAAAAAAAAAAATTCTGTGTTTTTTTTCTTTATGTGGCTCTTGATACCATGTTCTAATCTCTGTATTCCATACAATTGAGTCAAGAGGATACACATATTTATACTAGGCTATGCACACTAACTATGGTAAGGATCAATAATATCCCTAAGATATTATACACACTATCCTAAGATATTATACTGAGATCATATCAAATATTCTTCTACCATATAATGTCTAACAGTTTTATCATTCAATAATTTTGTTGGTGGCTTATCTCACTCATTTTCTAGCTTGGTAAACTTAGAGACCTTAGATTTGAGTTCTAATAATGACTCTGGTTTGATACCCTCTGGGATTTGTAAAGACCCTAAGAATAGGTTGAAAGTGCTGTACCTTCAGAACAACATGTTCACTGGTCCAATACCTGAGAGTCTAAGTACCTGTTCTTAATTGGAATCTCTTGATCTTAGCTCTAATTACCTTTGGACGGCCACCTCATTTGAATATACAAGAACATAATAAGAAAAAAGTCGGAGTTTCAGGTATGTTTAATTAAACTCAGTTTGAATTGTTCCAGGCCGGTCTAAATATTTGACACCTAAATTAAAAGTATCCAAAGTGAATTTTGGTGTAGATATGGACTGGGCAGATGGAGTTGCTAAATATTATTATATTTAGGATAATCCAAAATTTAGTTCAGATATGATTAACTCCAAGTCCAAGTCCAAGTCAACAACAATAGACCAAGTCAGACTCTTTCAGTAGTAAAGGAAGTGAGTGATGAGCAGCAAGCAATAGAATAGAATAGGAAGACCAATTCAGCTAAGCTAAGGGTCCTAATTCTCATCACCATTATATTACATTAAGAGCTTAGAAGCACACCTGGTCTTATTAATTAGCTTATAATTGTTTGAAAATGCTGCATCCTCATCATCATGCCTTGATGTTCTTCATCATCATCCTCCTTTTCTCCTCCTTAAATTATTCACAATCTTTAACCACTCATGGTGATGATGAAAAGGGTATTTTACTTAGCCTAAAACAACAATACTGGGGAAATCCATCTTCACTTGAGCAGTGGAACTCCACTTCCTCCCCATGTGACTGGCCTGGAATTTCATGCAACTTCAATGGAAGTGTCACACGGATATCTCTCACTGGAATGAACATCCGAGGATCATTCCCGACCTCAACTATTATATGCCAGCTCAACAAACTTATTTCAATCAATTTCAGTAACAATAGTCTCTTTGGAACTATACCAGCTAACCTCTCCAGCTGCTCAAAGCTTGAAGAGTTGGATCTATCTGCAAATTATTTGTCAGGAAATATACCAGGAGATTTATGTACAACTCTTGTGGAATTGGACTTGTCTTCCAACGGATTAGTAGGTGTGGTTCCTGAGACCCTTGGTGATTGCTCAACCTTGGAACTTCTAGATCTATCCAAAAATAGATTCTCTGGTAAGTTGCCTGTTGAAACCCTACTAAATTTGACTAGCTTGAAGATACTGGTTTTATCATTCAATAATTTCGTTGGAGGCTTGTCTGAGTCATTGTCTAGCATGGTAAACTTAGAGACCTTAGATTTGAGTTCTAATAACATCTCTGGTTTGATACCCTCTGGGATTTGTAAAGACCCTAAGAATAGCTTGAAAGTGTTGTACCTTCAAAATAACCTGTTTACTGGTCCAATACCTGAGAGTCTAAGTAACTGTTCCCAATTGGAATCTCTTGATCTTAGCGTTAATTACGTTAAAGGGAATTTACCATCTAGCCTCGGGTCCTTGTTGAAGCTCAAGGATTTGTTTGATTTGGTTGAATGAGCTTGAGGGGAAATCCCATTGGAGTTGAGGTACTTGCAGTCTTTGGAAAGACTGCTTCTTGCTTTCAATGGCTTGTCAGGGTCAATCCTGAAAGTCTCAGCAACTGTACTAATTTGAAATTCATTTCTTTGTTGGATAATTTGTTGAGTGGTGCTATACCAGCTTCATTAGGGCTCTTGTC